TCGATGTCCTTTGGGGTCTGCCTTCTTTGTGCGATGCGTCCTCCGTGATCCTTCTCTTCTTGATTCTCTTCGTCCGTCCTCCCTAGAAGGTCGGTGAGAGTATCTTTTGTCTCCGTTGTGCTGAGGGGCTACGGGGATTGTTTTCTGTCCTCTCTTCTGGGTATTGGCCGCTGGAATCGGCGTGTCGTGCAGCGGGTATGGTGGCTGCATGACGTTATTTTGCATCATGAAATTGACGACCGACTGCAGGTCTGCCAATTTGTTTGCCATCTCTTTTACCTCTTCGTCCCTCCGTAGGCACCTATCCTTTCAAACCTGGAGGTCGTCTTCGTTGTAGTACCTGCTTTGATCAGGTTTCTTTGGTGCATCGCTAGTCTGGCTGACGTCTTTCGCTCCGTGATTTTGTTCATGAGTTTCTGCGTTCGACCTTTCTCCTTCGCCATCGAGGTCAATAGGTCTCCCACTCCCAGCAAGAGTGTCGTCCCCAATCTTTTCATTCTGTCTGTTACTGGCCATCTATTCTACTTTCGTTCCCACAGACGGCGCCAAATTGTGTGAGTGATTTTCTGACCACACTACCCGCTTAGTAACCAGCTGGAGAGTACCGGCAGAATAGATGGCAACTGGCTGACCTGCAACAGAAAGAGAAGATTCCGGCGGTGGTTTCGACCACCCGGGGGCACTCTGACAATCAATTCAGTATATCTCTCAAAGATAAATCAAGTGCTAAACTCAATGCTCAAAGCACGAAATTGCGTACCTTAGACCCACGAGGGTGCCTCTCTTTTATAGTTACCTCAATCCTAATCCCAATAGAAGCTTGACTTCTATGGATTCCTGTTTAATACTTACTTTGGACTCCTTTAGAGATAGAGATAAACTCCCTAAGAGCTTTATTCTTACCTTGGCTAAGTCTCCTCTTTATTCTAGGACTCTTGTCCCTTATCTCTTATCCGCTTATCTCGGATTCCGATATCTTCGAAGATAACCTCGGCTTGACCGAGATCACCTCAGCGTTATGACCCTGACACGTGGCACCTCGGCTGACATGTCGGTGTCACCTTGCCACGTGTCGGTATTCAAAAATATATCCCCACACATATACAAAATTATTCATTCATTCATTATTCATTCAATTCTCAACCATTCAATAAAAATATTTCTCCACAACCTGTAGCATTCAATTTCCAACCATATACAAAACTCAACTATTAACGGTATATATCAAAGAAAATAAGAATCCATAAACATAGTATAGTCCAACAAATACATATATTATCTAAACCAATAATTAAAATCCAAATTAAATAAAATCTTAATAACAAAACATATCAGGTGTACATATTTCAGATCTTCAATCTCATGGTCTCTGTCTCCTTATCACGTGCTCTTGATGCAGTTTCGAATATGGTGAAGAGAGTCGTGGGCCGATCTCAAATCAAGAATAAGATAAACATCTAATTTTGTCATTGTAAAAATAAAAGAAATAAATTTAAAAACTAGAATAAGATAAACAATTGTATTAACTATTATTACGTACAATCAATCTATTGTTAAATTATTATATGTAGGTCACTGCATTGGGGATCAATCCTGTCATTCGTCTTCTTCGACTTGTGACACTTCTCATAGAATTTGGAAAAATCAGGCAACTCTTCTTCGTTCTCATCTACTTGTTAATTTCTCATCTAGCAGAATTGTTTTAAGCAAATAATCCAAATGTTGAAAAAGATTAAGAAAGAAAGGTGAACATAAACTGAATAAAAAACGTTAACCATTTTTAGTCGCTAATTGTGGCATTTTTAGCGACTAAATTTTTTTTTTGCTGCCAATAATCAATATTTCCTGACTAAAGAAATTTAGTAGCTAAATATTGTACTTTTGTCGATTAAAAAAAATTTTGGTCGCCAATTCCATAAGTTTTAAATTTTTTTTGGTCGCCAAATTTGATCGCTAAAAGTGCATTTTGTTGTAGTGAACTAATGTTTTTTATGATAGTCTCTAATTAGACTACATGAACTAAAATTAAAAATTAAAAATTAAAACTTAAATAGATGAAATTGGTAATTTAAAATAAAATAGAAAAATAGTAGTAATAGTTTGAAGAATAAAAGTGAAATTAACCCAAAATTTTCCATATTGTCCATACGCAACCCTTTGTATTGACGTTGGGGCAGGCGGGTGAACACTAAGATGGAATAGACCCGCTAGTTTTCCCAGTGTCCTTGCTGCAATATGATGAGATGCTATACAGAAGAAGGGAACTAGTTGCGACAGGAAAGAGGGACGTGTTGTGCTTCTTACCTATGATGATTCCGCATTTGCCAGGTCAAGCTTATCACTGGCAGGCGAGACCGATGGATTAAGTTCATAGATTTGAAATAATTAATTATTTTAATCTATCATTGTGAATACTTTATTTGTTTGGATCAAAGGTATACATGAATGATTTGAAATTTGTAGCATTGTCTTTATAAAAAAACTGCAAAATTAAAAAAATTCAAAGTGGGCAATACTTGGGAGGCCAGTCATTACTGTGCACCAAACTCATTGGTATAAGTCCTGTTTGATGGAACCATGAAAGTTTCGAATTGATAAAATCATTGGAAGAGAACCTTTGTGCTAATTACAGCGTATGCCTCAAGCAACAGTTTTGTATATACATTGCCCATAAAAAGGGATGGTCCAATACATATCTCATCCATTAAATCATCTCAACATATGATAACATAGATAAAACATGAATCAATTAAATTACTCACAAATTAAAATGTTCAAATTTAACCATTTGACCAAGGGGTTTAAACCCACTAAACAATTATATCGCTTACTAATTAGATTTGGTCTTGACTGATCATCTATATCATTAAAATAAATATAAAATAAATTGATTTGAGATCTCCTTTTAAGAGCTGTATCCGAATCAAAAATACCGGTCCCTCTTTTCTATGTTTTTTTGTTTTTATTGGCAAAAGAAAATTTTATTGATAGTAGATGAAATATACATCAATAAAGGAGTTGAAATGTACAAGTATCATAGCGAAACAACTAAATTGACAACTAGGCTTTCCAGCCTCTGCAGACGGAGGCAGCAGCAGGGAATTGGTCGAAAGGTATGCGAATAAGACATTCAAGAGCGACGTGGTTGGGAAGACCCGGAAGGAGTTCCATGGAAGAGTCCATGCACATATATATATATATATATAGAGAGAGAGAGAGAGATTAAGTTTAGAAGAAACAAGAACAGAGAGAACAGGAAAGGAATGAAAGAGAATGAAGTGGCTTGTGAGAGAAAGAGAGGAAAGAGAGAGATGTTTGTATGATTATGGATTTTGATGTTTGATTGGGTTTATAAAGAGATTGGTTAGGTACTCTTTTGAGACTAGCTTTTTGTGTAAAAGGTAAAAGAAATGGGAAGAGAGAGAGAGAGAGACTTTTTTTTGGATTCAGACCACAAGAATGCTGTAATATTGTAGGAGGTTGGGAAGTGAGTTTTTATGTAAGTTTTTTTAGTTGTAGTAAGTTGGTGTTTTGATAGTTTCTAATAAGATTAGGCATTTTTGGAACAAATCCTAACAAGGTTATGCATTTTCAAAATAAATCCTAACGAGGATAGGTATTCTTGGAATAAGTCCTAATAAGGTATTTTCGGAATAAGCCCTAACGAGATTAGACATTCTTGGAATAAGTCCTAGCAAGGCTAGGCATTTTCGGAATAAGTTCTAACGAAGTTAGGCATTCTTAGAATAAGCCCTAGCACCTATGTAAGGTTTTAGCTAGGCATTATTACACAACTATTTTTATTAGAACAACAGAAAGCTTCCACTCTTTCATTGGGTTCAAAGACAATGAAAACTTGGGGGCAATTGAGAGGGAATAAAAGTAACTATAGGAATTATGTGGGTCCCGACACTGCCACGTGACATAATTATAAATTATCATATATATGACAGTTATCAAATTCTTATCAAACACTGCATTAGTGTTTTATATTGTGATTAGGATATGAAATCTTATCGATGTAGAAATCCTTCACGACCGGAGATTGCTTGGGATATGACTTCTGGAACATTCAAATTACTTACTAAGTAAGTCACTGGATATTATAAACAGACAGCACCCTTATGGGTTGAGGGATGCGATTTCGCTCTATGAATTAGTCTATTAAATATTTCGATAATGTTAGAGGACTGACTTAGGCGTCGAAAAGCCCCTGACTACAACTAGGGGTGTTTTGTCTTGCAGATAGCGATCGTGTGGTGGTGCTGATCATCTTTCTCGTTGGATTTTTTTATTATCAAATACGGTATTTTTTATGTCCGTACAATAACATAGATATATCGTGAATCAATTAAATTGCTCACAAATTAAAATGTTCAAATTTAATCATTTGACCAAGGGGTTTAAACCCACTAAACAATTATTTGCATATTAAATCGCTTAATACATTAGATTTGGTCTTGATTGATCAACTATATCATTAAAATAAATATAAATAAAATTGATTTGCGAACTTCTTTTAAGAGATGTATCCGAATAAAAAATATCAGCCCCCCTTTTCTATGTTTTTTTTTTTTTTAATTTTTATTAGCAAAAGAAAAATTTATTAATAATATACATCAATAAAAGAGTTAAAATGTACGAACATCATAATAAAACAAAATGATCTCGACTAAATTGACATCATTAAACAAGTCTAATCATATGCTAACAATATCGACAAGAGTGGCACCGGTGAACAAAAGCTTGTCCCTCTTTGCTATGTGATGGGTATATTTAGGGTTGGTTTGGGATGTTCTAAAAAAGTGTATTTTTTGACTTATTGACTTATATGGGTTGGGATTGGGTTGGGTTTGATGTGATGCGTTAGAGAGGTGATGTGATTTAAATAAGATGATATGACTTAAATAGGATAGTGACTTTTTGACTTTTTATATTAATTAGGTCATGTCAAACTTGACCTTAATTGTAAACTAAAACTAATGTGGTCAGTACTTAATTTAAATCTCCAAACAACAACTTAATTGGACATGGCCTAAATATTCTTCTGGTGCCTCAACTTTTGTCCATGTGTAATTTTTTAAATCCATCGTATAAGCTTTGTGAGGCTCACCAAATTTAGAAGAACCAAACACTAACAACTTGGTTTGCCATGTTGTCATGTAAGCCACATTGGACACCTCAGCTGGTAGTTTAGCTAGGACTTGCCATTTGATACCCACACGAGCTATCACTTTACCTTGACGACACATGTACAATCGCGAATCACCACCATCCACACAAGTCCTTGGACATATGGCATCTTCTAAAAAGTCATTTTGTATCATGTCCCATTGCTGAGTGATAATATCAAATGCTTCGACATCCCTTTCAAAATGACCTTGCATTTCTGTAGAGTATCCACCTATGACGTTGAACTTGCCATCAAAGAATACACCCTTGCACTCGTCTCTCTCTTTTTTCATATCAGGAAGCTTGATCCACTCATCTTTTGCCACGTCATATGCCATGGCAGATTTCAACGCATTCTTCTCTTTATCATGACCGCCAGCAACGTACACCATCCGATCAGAATCCGATGCAGATCCAAAGAATAATCTTCCGCCACCTGGCATATCTGCCCCACACCGCCACATGCCGCAGACAAAGTTGTAAATAAACACAGAATCGGATACCTGCCAAGTCAGCGGGTCGCACCCGCCTATCAATACCAGCTCCGATCCAACTCCCACAAGGTGGCAAAACATCGGCAGCCCATCGGGAAATCCTGGCACAGGTGGCGGCTCTGACCAATGCCCAGTTTCCGGCTCACAAAGCACGAGCTGATAAGAGAGCGGAGCCAAAAGCTTCACAGCACGTTGGTTTTGGGTCGGGTTTACCCGGACTTGTGACAAGACGATGAGTGATTGAGCCAAGCCAGCCGTCTTCCGATGGTGTCGAAATTCTGGCAGTTCAATCTTGGCTTTCCAGCCTCTGCAGACGGAGGCAGCAGCAGGGAATTGGTCGAAAGGTATGCGAATAAGACATTCAAGAGCGACGTGGTTGGGAAGACCCGGAAGGAGTTCCATGGAAGAGTCCATGCACATATATATATATATATATAGAGAGAGAGAGAGAGATTAAGTTTAGAAGAAACAAGAACAGAGAGAACAGGAAAGGAATGAAAGAGAATGAAGTGGCTTGTGAGAGAAAGAGAGGAAAGAGAGAGATGTTTGTGTGATTATGGATCTTGATGTTTGATTGGGTTTATAAAGAGATTGGTTAGGTACTCTTTCGAGACTAGCTTTTTGTCTAAAAGGTGAGCTGATGTTCTAGACCATTTTTTTGGAAGAAAGAGGGAAGAAATGGGAAGAGAGAGAGGTGAGCTGATGTTCTAGACCATTTTTTTTGGAAGAAAGAGAAAAGAAATGGGAAGAGAGAGAGAGAGAGACTTTTTTTGGATTCAGACCACAAGAATGCCGTAATATAATAAATTCTGTTTCTTATGGTTGATTTGAATAGAGAATTTTTTATTTTTTTAATTAAAATTTGAGGTGAAAGAACTAGGAAAAATTACAATTAAGTTGATATTTAAAAAGAATTATAAATTCATGAAAAAATTTACTGTTTTATTTATTAATATTTATAAATTTTATTACTAATTTGTAATTATTTTTTGTAAACACCATTGATTTGATATTTTTCCAAAACATTAGTGTTTAAGAGTAACTGTTTGACATTTTAGTCTCTATATTTGGTTCCTCTAATTTTAATTTGCTCAATTATAACCCTAAATTTATGATTTTTGTCTCAATTAGTCTACCTGATTATAAATTTTACTATTTTTTTAATGGAAAAATCTGAACATAAGCGCGCTATGTGTCATATTTTTATAATTAAAATTGTAAAGTTGTATAAATTACTGAGTTAAAATCAACAAATTTAGTAATCATTTGTCTTAAAAAACTCTTATTGAAATTACTAATTAGGTCAAATTGACACAAAATTTAAAAATTGGGATCAAAATCGAATTAATTAAAATGGCAATGACCAAAATAATATAAAGAGTAAAATACAAGGATTACTGATATAATTTATTCTTAAAAATGTGTCCAAAAAAGAATAAAACATAATTTTTAACTTTTTGTATAAAGTAAAAACTTTTTATAACTTTCTTTATTAAATTTTTATTTTTTTTTTACTCTAAAATCCTCTCATCCCAAACGGAACCTTATTCTCACTATTGGATTTTTCAGCTCCGGCGTTTACTGGTTGGGAGAACATTTTCACCAAGGATCCTCTAGAGTGGAATTTTCCTAAAGTTTCCTAGAGTACTACATTGTGTGGTTGAGATTTACTGGCAAGTCACATCAGAAAAATTGATGTGACTTGCCAGTAAATCTCAACCACACAATGTAGCACTCTAGGAAACTTTAGAGAAAAATCACTCTAGAGGATCTTTGCTCGAACATTTTAGACGGCTTGCCCTTAAAACAAGTTTTCAACTAATAACCAATCACAAATTGCCACACAAGCAAAACAATGGCCCACACTAAGGGGTCGTTTGGGGTTTATCTTTTTTGGAGTTTTTAAATTGTGGGTGTTGAAGTTTAACCTCATAACCAAGTTAGATATCTTCTTCGAGATCCTAGAAACTAAGCCATAGAGCACGTGCAAAATAGAGAAATTCAACACCTGCACACAAAAAGCCAATAAGACCGATGACTCATCCACCTGGGGTATTCCGACGATCAAGTCAGTCAAATTATCTCGCAAATATCTCGGCTCAAGTAAACAACTTTCAAGTAAAAACATACCTTAGACTCATAGGGTGCTCTCTTTATATAGTGATCAGTGTTCAACTTCTCCTAAAAATATTACTTTATAGGACTCTATACTTTATAAAGATATCACTTATCCAAGACTTCATATTCAGATTAGGATCAACTCTCTTAAAAGGGCAACTTTACCCAAACAACTAGCCTGATATCATCTAAGACTCTTGTAGTCTATCTAATTATCTTGGAGTCCGATATAATCGCATCATATCTTTGCAACCTGGATCACTTATGTGGCACATCGGCTAACAACCTAGCCATGTGGACAACCCCAGAATTATGTCCCCACAACTGCCCCTGGGTTCTATTACCTCGGCCATGTAACGCCCCAACTTCTGAGCTTTTAATAAACCAACTCAACCTCAAATTTAAAATTTTAACTAATTAATAATCTCAAAAATACAAAATTATCTCCAAAATAATTACATGAATATCTCTAAAATATAACTTATACAAATCTCTAGAAACAATATATAGTTGTGAGCTCAAAAATCTCTAACTCAATAATCTTTTAAATTCTTCAACCCCAACCTCCACTAAATTTGCTCCACATTTGAAAAATAAATTAATTCGCGAAGTATACAATACGATAAGAATAACAAAGCTCGGACAAATAATAAATTCACGGGGATCCAATAATTACACAAACAATTCAATTCGAAATACCAAGCAATTTACCAAATTGCACAAACAAGTTAACTCAACATATGATAATTTATCCAGGACCAAATACCATGTCCTACTCAGTACATGACCAGTGACTGGCTTCACCCCCCTCACCCAAGTACAACTGCTTATCCGGGCTATTGGTACAGAGCATATTGGCAAAGTCCACTCGATCCATATACGGAACATTTCCAAATCATTTAGCCAAACAAATCAACATTTCCAACACAAAATAACTACATAGAGTTCATCAAATAACTAGAGTAATCAAACGAATCAACAACGAATAATTCCATAGAATTTATCAAATTATCAGAATCATCAAGAGGAGTACAAATTGAAGGTGATTAAAATAACACTCTTTGCAAAGAGATTTAAAATGAGGCATTTGTATACCACTCGAATAACCTCAAATCAATTAACTCCGTCACCATAAATCTGAAATTACTCCATGGGTCTCCAAAAATAACTCTGATCTTACTTTGATAAAATCTGCAACTCTCATCTGCTAGATCACCAAGGTGAAATAGAATTTTCAGATTTAGAACCATTTAAAGATTGAAATTAAAAGGACCATTTCAGATTTTCCCGAGCCCGGCCTTCCTATGGTTCGTAGGAAATTTTATCTAGTTTTCAGAACATTTTTCAAAAATGAAATAACCTTTCTAAATTTTTAGTTATTTAAGAAACACTCCAACACTGCCAAATTCGTCGACTGTTACGAAAATCGGATTTTCTCACAAACCACTCACTCTTTTTCAACGAAACCAATTTTAATTGAAAGATGACTCTTTAAGGAAGGTTTTGACATAAAATTAAGGTCCAGAAGATTTTTATACATATTTCTAGAATTTCGAAGGTCTTTCAGAACATTTTTCAAAAATGAAATAACCTTTCTAAATTTTTAGTTATTTAAGAAACACTCCAACACTGCCAAATTCGTCGACTGTTACGAAAATCGGATTTTCTCACAAACCACTCACTCTTTTTCAACGAAACCAATTTTAATTGAAAGATGACTCTTTAAGGAAGGTTTTAACATAAAATTAAGGTCCAGAAGATTTTTATACATATTTCTAGAATTTCGAAGGTTAGCTGTAAAATAGGTTTTTCATGTACAATACTCAAAATAAGAAGGTTAGCGAGAAAAGAGGTCAACTAATAGAAAATTTTCACTTCTTTTGTGATGAAAACACATTAAATAATGTATCAATAACTCATATTTTTAGAGAGATGGTGTGCCTTTGGAAATGATGTGGGATATGGGAAGAAAAATGTAGTTTGACATCTATTAAGAGGAATTATGAGTAGAAGAAGAATCAAAGGCCAATTCATCAACTTTGAACACAAGAACACCATTACAACATATTTGAAAATATGATTTTAATTCTCTAATAATATGTATTTGGAAAAGGAAATTGAAGGAGAGATGGCGATGTGGCTTACTTGATTATTTAGTGAAGTATTTACACAATTTCTTTTCTTTTCTTCTTTCTTCTACCACCAAAGCTCACTCTCTTGCCCTCTCTCCCTCTCAGCTGAATGAAGTGTTTGTATAAGAGTTCTTGTGTGCAAAATGCTAAGGGAGAGGTTTCTTTTATAGGAAAATTGGTGTAAAAGGTCCATTTTTCCCATTGATTGGAAATGGATTGGATATTTTGGATTTTGCTTGGAATCTAAAGGAATAGTGGATGATTATAGGCCTTAATCATACAATTAAACATGATCTAGTTAGGATTTGGTTAAGATTGAACTTAGCGCGGAGGTATGGTTCCATGATTTGGGGGTACTTTAATACTTTTTCCATGAATTCATGGATTTCGTTTGAAAAGTTGTATGCATTTCACTTCGCTAGGGTGACCGGCCACATGGGGGTGATTTGAGGGAATTATTTTATTTTTTTTCTTATGTACAATTGTTCGAAATTTCAAAATAGTGTACAAAATAGGTTTAAAGGTACAAGTATATATATATATATACTAGCGTATGCAACGTCCTGATATTAAGATTTTATAGGATATAAAAAATGTCTAATATTTTTATAATAATTAGGGTCTTCCAACATTTTTTCAGAGAAATTTTGATTTAGAGAAAATTCAACCTAAAGAAATTTCAAAACACAAACAAATTTCAAACAAATTTTTCTGTGTTTTGAAATTTCTCTATGATATGCTCATAATTTTCTCTGTGTTTTGACTATTTTTTTATAATTTGCTCATAATTTTCTCTGTATTTTAATCAAACCAGGGAAAATTGTCTCTTTTCACAGAGCAATTTCAAGCACCTTCAACAAACACATACACAAAAACAGATTGAGAATTGAAAATGCTCCAAGTCAAATGTATGCTTGAATTTGAGTTAGTCCATTTACTCAAATTGAGGCCTTGTTTAGGAACAAACTTTTTTAGTAATTTTGTGATTTTTTAGTTAAAATATAATGTAAAAAAAAAATTAATATGTTTGGGATAACTTTTTGATTTTTTACTGCGCCAATCGTCATGCCAAAAATCCTGATCGACATCGGCAAAGCCGAGCATAGGATCGTGTTCTTTGATCGAGCGTCTAGCAATGAGAGCTGAGCGATG